GTCTTTGTTAAGGGAATATCTACAAGCACTGGCCTTTCATCATTCTTCAATCAAACTAATCCCCAGCGAGGTCTCACCTTTACTTGCAGAGACAAAGAGGATCCAGAACCCCTGGGCATTTATTCTTGCTACCTTCAGCTTCCTAGTGTCTCATAAAGCCACAGTCTCACTCAGAGGAACACCCTGGTTCTGGTTCTAAATTTGATCCAACGACCAGAATTGCAAAGCCCTTTCTCTAAACTGTGGAAGCTCAATTTCCCAACTTGCCAATTGGGGATGAAACAATTTACCTTACAAGGTTTCAATGAAGAGCTAAGGAGACCTGAGAAGGTAAGATTCTTTCCATCATAAACATTCCTGCTCTTATCATGTCCCAGGTGCTAGAGCACACTATCCAAGTGAGTCAATATCAGACACACATGTCAGAAACAAATACAAAATACAGATCACAGGGTGAGCAAATGAACCATGAGGTAAATGAAGGAATGAAGGAAAGGAGAGGGTGAGAAGACTGGGAAGACTAGTAGGGGCCCTGAGTCATGCTAAGATATTTTGGGGTCTTCTGTGAGCACTGGAGAACCATGAGCAATTCTGAGAAGAACAATTTGCTCTGGGAAGTCTTGTGGAAGAAAATCCCAAAAGTAGTTGCAACATGAGATTGCTGGAAAATGATCTTGGAGTCTGGCCACTGTTCGCTGACTATGGCAATAACCAAAGCAAGAAATGACACCTTCACTCAGATACTGGCCTGCATGTGGCCAGTGCGTAGAAGGGTGGAAATGAGTCAGGAGACCTCAGCCACCAAAGGCTCTCAGCAGCTCTGTCCCTTCAAAAAGGCAAATTTGCAAGAATAAACTTTCCCAGATGCTTATTTGTGTTCTAGGTTTCTATGAATGTGAAATAAGACTATCAGGTTGGTGTCCTGAGCCACTAATTCCTATCCCCATATTCACCTTATTACCTTAAAACAAAAAAATCATTGCTGTCCACTCACATTCATAGCAGCATTATTCACAAATAGCCAAAAGGTGAAAGTAACTCAAGTGTCCATCGACAGATGAACAGAGAAGCAAAACATAATATCAACATACAGTGGAATATGATTCACCCTTAAAAAGGAAGGAAATTTTGACATAGACTACAACATGGATGAGCCTTATGTATTATTTCACATAATGCTAAGTGAAACAAACTGTCACAAGGGACAAATACTATGGGATTTCATTTATATGAGGTATCTAGAGTAGTCAAGTTCATAGAGCCAGAGTAGAACAGTAGTTTCCAGGGGCTGGGGGCAGGGAGGAGTCGGGGGTTGTTTAATGGGTGCAGAGTTCCTGTGCAGGAAGATGAAAAGAGTTCTGTAGATGGGCGGTGGTGATGGTTGCACAGTAACAATATACTTAATTCACTAAACTCTACCGTTGAAAATGGTTACGATGATTAATTTTACGTTATGTATATTTTACCACAATTTTTTTAAAAGGAACAGGAATCATTCCTCACACGGATTGTCAGTGCAAATGAGACTGCCTGTAAATGATGGAATTCTTTGCCACCAGACACAGCCTATCCAGGAAACTTCTCCTCCTCTTCCTTTCATTATTGCTTAAAAAATTCCCCACCCTGCAGGGCGCAGTGGCTACCTGTAATCCCAGCACTGTGGGAGGCCAAGGCGGTGGATCACGAGCTCAGGAGTTCAAGACCAACCTGACCAAGATGGTGAAACTCTGTCTCTACTAAAAATACAAAAATTAGCTCGGCACGGTGGCTGGTGCCTATAATCCCAGCTACTCAGTTGGCTGAGGCAGGAGAATCACTTGAACTCAAGCAGCAAAGCTTGCAGTGAGCTGAGATCGTGCCATTGCACTCCAGCCTGGGTGACAGAATCAGACTACGTCTCCAAAAAAAGAAAAAAATTCCCCTCCCCACTGCCCCACCTGGTGCTAACTCAGCTCCTATCAGTACTTGAATGGCAGGAACCAGCCTGAGGGTAGACACTGCCACCTTCTTCTGTATTCTAGGACACCCAGAGTTTCCAGAGACTGACATTGGTGCCATCCACCACTCCAGGACCCCAGCCCCTGATAACCTCAGCGAGCATGGGCCCAAGTCCTCACTGGCATCCCAGGTGAGCTTGGCAGGTTCCAGAAAGCTCTCTTGATGGCAAGAAGAGCTAGGATGGAGTACCCTATGAGAGTTGTTGATAGGGGCTCCCAGGGCCTGCCATCTCAGAGGACAAGGAGGGCACAGGTGGTCTCAATGCTGAGCACAAAATGAGGCCATGGAGGTCAGCTTGCTTCTGCCCACTTCTGCCCTTGCCAGCAACTAAAAGGAGATCAGGACTGGAATGAGGAAATGGCTCCATCCGTCCTCCCCACTGCAAAGAGCTGGAAAGCTTGCTCTACTGGATCCAGTCATTTATTCAGGTATTTGAACTCAGCTACTAGGTGTCCACACATTTAGGATGGTCATGTCTTTTTGATGAATCACCCTATTATTGTAAAAGCTCTCTGTGTTCCATGCTGACAGCCATTCCAATATTCTTTTGATTAGTACCGGTATGGTATATCCTTCCTATCCTTTTACTTGTCACTATCCTATGTGAGTATTTATATTTAAAGTGACTCTGTTACAGGCAGGCTATACACTTGAGTCTTATTCATTTTTTCTACTTTTTAATTAGAGTGTTTAGTCCATTTACTTTTACTGAATTACGATATAGCTGGATTTAAGTCTACCAACTTGCTATTTGTTGTCTATTTGTCTCATCTGTTTCTTGCTTCCTTTTTCTTTCTGTTCTACTTTTTAAAAACATTCATCCACCATATACCATTATGTTTGCTCTAAACAATCAACTATCTTTTACAGATATGAAGAAATGTTTAGTTTTTTTCTATTTCTGGTACTCCTCATTTCTTAAGTAGATCTAAGTTTCCACCGGATATTATCTTCTTTCTGACTGAAAAAATGTCTTTTTTTGTTTTGTTTTTTGAGACAGAGTCTTGTTCTGTCACCCAGGCCGGAGTGCAGTGGCATGATTTCAACTCACTGCAACCTCTACCTCCTGTGTTCAAGCGATTCTCCTGCCTCAGCCTCCTGAGTAGCTGGGACTGCAGGTACACACCAACAGCCTGGTTAATTTTTGTATTTTTAGTAGAGATAAGGTTCCCCATATTGGCCAGGCTGGTCTCAAACTCCTGACCTCCAGTGATCTGCTCACCTTGGCCTCCCGAAGTGCTGGGATTACACGCATGGGCCACCATATCCGGCCCTGAAAATTTTATTTTAACATTTCTTATTGTGTAACTATGCTAGTGATACTTTCTCTGGCAATTTATTTTATCTGAAAATATTTGGATTTCATCCTCGTTTTAAGGATAGTTGTGGTTGGGTACAGAACTGTAAGTTGACAGTATTTTTCTCTTTCAGCACCTTAGAGATATCATTTAATTATGTTTTGGTTTGTATTGTCTCTGATGAGAAGTCTGCAGTATTTTATTTTGTTTTATTATTGAGACAGAGTTTCGCTTTTGCCCAGACTGGATGCAATAGTGCGATCTCAGCTGACCACACCCTCCACCTCCAGGGTTCAAGCGATTCTCCTGCCTCAGCCTCCCGAGTGGCTGGAATTAAAGGTACACAGGTTCAAGGGATCCTCCAGCCTCAGCCTCCCAAAGTGTTTGGGTTACAGCTAATTCTGTATTTTTATAGAGACAGGGTTTCTCTGTGTTGGTCAGGCTGGTCTCAAACTCCCAACCTCAGGTGATCCACCCACCTCAGAGTGCTGGGATTACAGGCATGAGCCACCACACCCAGCCCCAAGAAGTCTTCAGTATTCCTATTGTTCTCTTATATGTTATTCCCTGGCTGATTTTAAGATTTTTCTTTTCTTTTTTTTTTTGAGACAGAGTTTCTCTCGTTACTCAGGCTGGAGTGCAATGTCACGATCTTGGCTCACCGCAACCTCTGCCTCCTGGGTTCAAGCAATTCTCCTGCCTCAGTCTCCCGAGTAGCTGGGACTACAGGCGCATGCCACCATGCCCAGCTAATTTTTGTATTTTTAGTAGAGATGGGGTTTCACCATGTTGACCAGGATAGTTTTGATTTCTTGACCTCGTGATCTACCCGCCTTGGCCTCCCAATATGCTGGGATTATATGTGTGAGCCACCGTGCCTGGCCTGAGATTTTTCTATCTTTTGTTTACAGCAGTTTGATTATGATATGTCTAGGTGTGGTTTTCCATATGATTTTTCTGGATTTATTGGGCTTCTTGGATCTGTGGGTAATATTATTTTCATCAACTTTGGAATTTTTCATCCATTATGTCTTCAAATGTATTTTTTCCCCAATCTCTCTATCTCCTTTTTTTGGGGGAATGCAAACACACATTTCTTAGACTGATTAATAATGTCCCACAAATTGCTAAAGTCCTGACTTATTTCTTCAAGCTTTTTTTCCTTCCATGCTTCAGCTTGGATACTTTTTTATTTTAGACAGGGTCTCACTCATTCTGTTGCCCAAGCTGGAGTACAGTAACACAATCATAGCTCATGACGCCTCCGCTTCCTGGGCTCAACTGATCCTCCCACCTCAGCCTACCAAACAGGTGGGACTACAGGCACGTACCCCATGCCTGGCTTATTTCTTTTTCATTTCAGAGGAGATGAGGTCTTGCCGTGTTTCCCAGGCTGGTCTTGAACTCCTGAGTTCAAGAGATCCTCCAGCCGCAGCCTCCCAAAGTGTTTGGGTTACAGGTGTGAACCACTGCACCCAGGCTTGCTTGAATACTTTCCATTGCCCTGACTACATGTTCACTAGTCTTTATTTTACAGCATCTGATCTGCTATTAAACTCATCTAGCAAATTTTTCATCTCAGATATTGTAGTTTTCATCTAGAATTTTCATTTAGTTTCATTTCTCTACTGACTTCTTTTATATCTTTAAACATATCTAAACAGTCAATTATCTTTTAGAGAAATGAAGAAATCCCCCCACTGGCTGCTCTGAAAAGCCATCTTTGCATTGTTCCTCGTCTGATTCGTTGCTCGCTGCAGCTGCCTCCGCCGTGCGTCTCCTTCGCTGTCGCAGACTCCGGCAGCTTTATCACCAGAGTCCTTGAAATCTCGCTTCCTTTTTAATCCTCCGCATCGGATCATCGGCGTGCCCCACCATGTCAGACGCAGCAGTAGACACCAGCTCCGAAATCACCACCAAGGACTTGAAGGAGAAGAAGGAAGTTGTGGAAGAGACGGAAAATGGAAGAGATGCCCCTGCTAATGGGAATGCGAATGAGGAAAATGGGGAGCAGGAGGCTGACAACAAGGTAGATGAAGAAGAGGAAGAAGGTGGGGAGGAAGAGGAGGAGGAAGAAGAAGGTGATGGTGAGGAGGAGGATGGAGATGAAGATGAGGAAGCTGAGTCTGCTACAGGCAAGCGGGCAGCTGAAGATGATAAGGATGATGATGTTGATACCAAGAAGCAGAAGACCTATGAGGATGATTAGACAGCAAAAAAGGAAAAGTTAAACTAAAAAACAAAAAGGCCACCGTGACCTATTCACCCTCCACTTCCTGTCTCAGAATCTAAACGTGGTCACCTTCGAGTAGAGAGGCCGGCCTGCCCACCCAACGTGGGCAGTGCCACCCGCAGATGAACGACGCGCTCTCCACTACCCAACCCAAACCATGAGAATTTGCAACAGGGGAGGAAAAAAGAACCAAAACTTCCAAGGCCCTGCTTTTTTTCTTAAAAGTACTTTAAAAAGGAAATTTGTTTGTATTTTTTATTTACATTTTATATTTTTGTACATATTGTTAGGGTCAGCCATTTTTAATGATTTCGGATGACCAAACCAGCCTTCGGAGCATTCTCTGTCCTACTTCCGACTTCACTTGTGGTGTGACCATGTTCATTATAATCTCAAAGGAGAAAAAAACCTTGTAAAAAAAAGCGAAAACGACAACAGAAAAACAATCGTATTCCGAGCATTCCAGTACCTTTGTTGTATATGTACTTAGCTGTACTATAAGTAGTTTGTATGAGATGGTTAAAAGGTTTCCTTTTTTTTTTTTTGTCTATGAAGTTGCTGTTTATTTTTTTTTTGGCCTGTTTGATGTATGTGTGAAACAATGTTGTCCAACAATAAACAGGAATTTTATTTTGCTGAGTTGTTCTAACAAAAAAAAAAAAAAAAGAAGAAGAAGAAGAAATTTTTAAAGTCATCTCTGGGTCTGTTTCTATTGACTATCTTTCTTCATAAGCTGAATACCTTTTCTGTTGTTGGGGGGACATTGTCAATATGAAGTTGTTGACCATTTAAACTTCGTTTTCTTTCTTTAAAGAATGTTGAGTTTTGTTTTGATGGCTAATTTATTGGCTGATTAGCTTAATCCTCTTGAGACTTGTTTTTAAGCACTGTTAGGCCATATATAATTTTAAGGATGGAAGCCACATACAAAGACTGGTGGTACAGGCTGGGCGCAATGGCTCATGCCTGTAATCCCAGCACTTTGGGAGTCTGAAGCAGGTGGATCACAATGTCAGGACGTTGAAACCCGTCTGACCAACATGGTGAAACCCCATCTCTAATAAAAATATAAAAGTTAGCCAGGTGTGGTGATATGTGCCTGTAATCCCAGCTACTCAGGAGGCTGAGGCAGGAGAATTGCTTGAACCTGGGATGGGGAGGTTGCAGTGAGCAGAGATTGCGCCACTGCACTCCAGCCTGGGCGACAGAGTGAGACTCTGTTTCAAAAAAAGAAAACTCCACTGTACTCTTGTAAGAGGTGGAAAGTAAAAAAAGCAAGTAATTTCTCAGTGTTATTATGAAGCTTTGACGTTGCAGATCTCCTGAGAGGATCAAGTATTTCCAGGGATCGCACTTTGAGAACTGCTGCTCTAGAAAAGTTTTAGGCCTCCTAGAATGGAAGAAGCGTACAAGAGAAAATAAAAATCTTCTGAGATGACATTATGAAGAAATAACACAAGGTATTAACTAATTACAACTGAACAACTGATTCAAAAGAAAAGGATATTTGCCCTATGAAAGAAGGCAATCACTGAACTTGTCCCCCTTCAGCGAGTTGGAGAATGATTTCTTGAGGAACTAACTTTTCAACCAGGCCCTGAGAAGGAGGTTAACCAGATGAAGGCAGGAAGAGGCGGAAGTTCTCCTCTCCCTCAGTACAGCTGGTTTTCCCGCCTTGCTAAGGAAATTGAGTTAGGCTTTAAAGAAGGATCAGAGATGGAGATTATTTTCTCCCATGACATCTCCTCTAGAAGAAGAACCTGGTTCTTACCAGACCAAGTTGGAAATCTGTTCTGGAAAGAAAAGGGGAAGGTGTAACCTAGGGTCCTTCTGATGCTCATAGAATTAGCCCCAGTGACAGAGAAGCCCAGATCTCCCTGGGCTGAGTGGGATGTCCTACCAAATAGGGCACTATATGGAGGCCCAAGAGCTGAGACTCAGGGGACACAGGCCTGAGGACAATTATGCAGGCCACAGGGTGCAGTGGCCTACAGTAACACATGTAGCAACAGAAACCCTTAGCTAACTGCCGTAATTTAAGGCAATTAGGAGCCATTCATCATCCAGATGGCTATTCCCTCTAATCGTTACTGGCTGAAGGAATTATATATAGCAGCTACCTTTCCACTCCATTTCCAGGCCATGTTCCTGTCTTGTGGTTGCCAGTTCTGCCAACACTCACTGTTGAAACTAGACATGCCAAGTTCCAGGAGGGACATTGGACAGACATTGCCTCTGTTCTTCTTCCCCTTGACACATCCACCTTTGGAGTGTGAAAACCCACCAGGTTCCAGCCACCGTCTCACTTCAGCCTTCCAAGGCCTTTGCTCTAGTTGAAATAGACTAAGCAGAGAAGAAAGCCATCTTGGAAAGCAGCAGATTCTGCTCTGTTCACTGACAGTACTGATGGCCAGCACTTACCAAACACACAGTCTTACAGGTGCTATGGGATTTACCTCTATTAATTCACTGAGTTCTTCTGATAACCTGATGAGATTAGGCCACTTATCGTATTTTACAGATGGGCAAGAGACGTCCTGTAACTGACTCAGTCACCAAGTCAGTAAGGAAAGCAGACAGGATTAAAACCAGGGAGTTTGGCTCCTAAATCAGTTCCTTGAATGTTACACTCTACTGCCTCTCTAGCTTTGAAGTGGCAAGAGGAGTTGGCTTTTTAAAAAGTGTATGGGCCAGGCTCGATGGCTAACGTCTGTAATCTAGGCATTTTGGGAGGCCAAGCCAGGTGGATCACCTGAGGTCAGGAGTTCGAAACCAACCTGGCCAATGTGGTAAAACCCCATCTCTACCAAAGTTATAAAAATGAGCTGGGTGTGGTGTTGGGCACCTGTAATCCCAGCTACTCAGGAGGCTGAGGCATGAGAATCACTTGAATCTGGGAGGTGGTGATTACACTACTAAGATCATACTACTGCACTCCAGCCTGGGTGACAGAGCAAGAAAGACTCCATCTCAAAAAAAGAAAAAAAGTATATATATAAATGCTCGACATCACTCATCATTAGGGAAATGCAAACCAAAACCACAGTGAAATATCACTTCACACCCATTAGGCTGGCTACTATAAAAAAAAACTAACACAATAATTGTCGATGATGATGTGGAGATATTGGAAGCCTTGTGCACTGCTAGTGGGAATGTAAAATAGGGGGAAACAGTATGGCAGTTTCTCAAAAAATTAAAAATAGGATTATCAGGCCGGGCATAGTAGCTCATACCAGTAATCTAAACACTATGGGAGGCCAAGGAAGGTGGATTGCTTTGAGCTCAGGAGTTCGAGACCAGCCAGAGCAACATGGCAAAACCCTGTCTCTACAAAAAATACAAAAATGAGCCAGGTGCAGTGGCTCATGCCTGTGGTCCCAGCTACAATGGATGCTGAAGCTGGAGGATCACTTGAGCCAGGAAGTGGAAGCTGCAGTAAACTGAGATTGCACCACTGCACTCCAGCCTGAGCAACAGAACGAGACCCTGTCTCAAAAAAAAAATAAATAAATTACCATGTGACCTAGCAATTCTCCTTCTGGGTATGTACCTAACAGAATAGAAAGCAGGGGCAATGTACACTTACTTACTTCCTTATATATTTATTGAGATGGAGTCTCACTTTGTCACCCAGGCTACAGTGCAGTGGCTCCACCTCTGCTCACCGCAACCTCTGCCTCCTGGTTTCAAGTGATTCTCCTGCCTTAGCCTCCCGAGGAGCTGGGATTACAGATGCCCACCACCATGTCCAGCTATTTTTTGTATTTTTAGTAGAGACGGGGTTTCACCATGTTGGCCAGGCTGGTCTTAAACTCCTGACCTCAGGTGATCCGCCCACCACAGCCTCCCAAAGTGCTGGGATTATAGGCGTGAGCCACCATGCCCAGCTAATACATAGTTATACACGCATGTTCATGGCAGCATTGTTCACAAGAGCCAAAATGTAGAAGTCACCCAAGTGTCCACCATGAACTGATTAACAAAACGTCATGTATATGTGTATATATTGCCATACACTGTATGTATATACATCTCACATACATACAAATAATGAAATATTATTCAGCTTTAAAAATGAAAGAAATTGTGACACAAACAACAACATGGAAAAACTCTGAGAACATTATGTGAAATAAAATAGCCAGTCACAGTCCAGGCACGGTGGCTCACACCTATAATCCCAGCATTTTGGGAGGCCAAGGCGTGTGGATCACCTGAGGTCAGGAGTTCAAGACCAGCCTGGCCAACATGGTAAAACCCCATCTCTGCTAAAAATACAAAAATTAGCCAGATATGGTGGCAGGTGTCTGTAATCCCAGCTCTTTGGAAGACTGAGGCAGGAGAATAGCTTGAATCTGGGAGGCGGAGGTCCCAGTGAGCCGAGACCACCACTGAATTCCAGCCTAGGCAACAAGAGTGAACCTCTATCTCAAAAAAAAAAAAAAAAAGAAATAGCCCATCAGAAAAAAAGACAAATACTGTAAGAGTCCACTTACATGAGGCACTCAGAGAAGTCAAATTCATAGAGACAGAAAGTAGAAGTTTTCAGAGTTTCAGTTTAGCAAGATAAAGAACGTTTGCAAGATAGATGGTGGTGACGGTTCCATGACACTATGAATGTACTTAACATTACAGAGCTGTACACTGGAAATGGTGAAGATGGTAAATTTTATGTTACATATATTGTGCCACAATTAAAAATAAATTTTTAAAAAGTAAACTAAGAAAAGGCATCAGTGACTGGGCGCAGTGGCTCACGCCTGTAATCCCAGCATTTTGGAAGGCAGAGACAGGCGGATCACCTGAGGTTGGGAGTTTAAGATCAGCCTGACCAACATGGAAAAACTGTCTCTACTGAAAATGCAAAATTAGCCGGGTGTGGTGGCGCATGACTATAATTCTGGCGACTTGGGAGGCTGAGGCAGGAGAATCACTTGAACCCAGGAAGGTTCAAGACTACGCTATTGCACTCAGGCCTGGGCAACAAGAGCAAAACTACATCTCAAAAAAAGAAAAGAAAAGAAAAGAAAAGAAAAGGCATCTGTGTAATAAACCTCAGAACCTTTATCATTGTAATTAGGGTAAAAATTATCATACCATCATATAAAAAAATTGGGAGCTGATTACATTTCTGAACTCCTGGAACTGAGAGAACATTTGCAAACAGATTAAGAGCTGTGGACTTTCCATGATCCACACGCCAAGCCAAAGAGGTGATTAGCGGGCTTAAACTACTGATTTCTAAGCAGAAAGTTAAAAAAAAATCATACTTTGTC